GGGGATAAATGTTTTAAGATTTTGGGCCGCCCGGATTTTGGGTCCCCCCCCCCCCCCCCCCCGCAAAGTAGGAAGGAAAGATTGGCCATCGGGGATCGGTCCTGTGGGAACAATGTTCCCCCCTTTTGGGAACGGGGGGTCAATGATTTAACCGTTAATGCATGCAAAACATAAGGGTACGCCCCCCCCCCCCCCATGTTTTGTTCGCACTCTTTTTCGCTCCGTCTACGTGGGTTATGGTATTTTTGTGCTGCGCGTGGGTTCTGATACCACTCGACGGCCTTCACTGCCCCGCGCAGGCGCGGGAAAGTAGTTAACGTGTTTGGTCTTGTTGATGAAGGATATGAAGGATGACCCCTCACTCTACATGTTCCAACCGAACTTGGGGTTACCAAGGGGGGATTAGGCCTTGATGCAAAGACACACACACGTGGTCGATCGCACAGCACACTGGCCGAAGAAAGTTCACTCATTATCACCTCTTCAAACGCACGCACTAGCGCGCACCTTCATAACCCCCCCCCCAAAAAAAAAAAAACAAGCCAATTCACTTCGTGAACTCGGCAACCAGGTTACCGTTTTTTTTTTTACCTCGTTTTTTTTTTTGGCGGTAACCATAATGGTGGTCGAGTAAATCATGGGGTGCGGGGTCGAAAAACCTCCCTCCGCGCAACGGGGGATGATCGCACCACGTTGTGTTAAAATGGTCAAGCTTCCTCGAGGCAGTTACACAGTGCTTACAACTGTCTCTGGAAGTGAAAGCACCAGAAAATAAATTAAGTCATACGTAGCTGTCATCCGTACGCAAGGAAGTAAGCACAAGATGCCGAACACCCTTAGCAGGATGCAGCTCACCCTTCATGCGACTCGCCAAATACCTCACGGCGCTTCGCGCTTGGTGATGTGAGAGCCTGGTCCGGTGAGAATCCGGCGTGCTCCGTCCCGGCTTTGTAGGGATGCGAGGTCAATGGTCTAACGACTACGGCATGCACGACTATGAGTACACCCCCCCCCCCCCCCCCCCCCCCCAAAATTTTCCCCCCGGGTTTTCCCTTAGGAAAACACGGTTTTCCCTCGAGCTTTTCCCCCCAAATTTTACCTTTGCGGGGGGGTCTGTTTTCGGGGGGGGGTTGGGGGGGGGGGGGGGGGGGGCGGAACCGAAACGGGGGATCCACAAAAACCAACTCCGGGACCTTCCCCCGGGCCCGGGGGCCCAGGGGCTCAAGTTTTGGGGTTAAAACCCCCGG